TTCATCCCACTGGTAAAAGCAGCTTGCAAGGCTGAATTCAAAATCAAGAAATGAGAAGTATACTCTGCTTTATATGGCAGGAACACAAGGAGGAATGAAGAATTGAGGCTTAGGACTTAATACATGACAGTACATATGGTTATTTGATTACTTATATATATCTGGTCTGTACAAACTATTTCATAATGAAAAATGAAATTCGCACATTAAGTACACTTTGGGGCCCTTCTTATTTACTAGTTTTACAATCCTAATCCACAAAAGGAAATGTAGTTCGTTCGTTAGCAGGAATTATTTCACGGTAATCTTTTTCTTGCCTTTTCCCAGTCTTTCAACCTCTTCTAAAAAGGATTTAAATTGGCTTACAAAGTACTGAGACAAAATAAATTTAGAATAAATCAGAAAATACAGCAAAGGGAAAATAAATTTATCAAAGCGGCATGGAGCCAAAATGACTTTAGCTCTTGGTGGATATTTATTGGCTATACTGGTCCTCTTTCCATCCTTCTCTAGCTGTTTAATGCCCCTTCTAGGGGCTCCTTTGTCTCAGGCTTCTCCTGTAGCTACAAGTCTGATGACTGCTTTGTCCTCTTACAGCAAGGGCCCTTGCTGGTAATACTTCCTGTTAAGCATCCCTTGTTGACTTCCTTAATCCTGCTGCACCAGTGTGACTGCTCTCTTTCATTAAGCTCTCTTGTGTAACCCTTTTGAAGGTGCCATGTTTCCTGCTAAAGACCCTGATTGCAACAACCCCTAAATCCCATACCTTAAGTCTACATGCCCACACAAGTAGATCTTAAGTATAGCTCTAAGGTCTCAATGTGATTAACATGTGATAAACATAATAAAAGAATCTTCAGATCCTCAAGAAAAGCAGGCCTACTTCTGACAGCACGATAGGCAAGAAATTTTCTTTGTGGTTACTCAGTGAGGTATAGTGACCCCATTGTTTTCTGTCCCACAAACCATCTCTAATCATTACTCAAATTTTCTTATCCACGCTCACTCTCTATTTGATCTGATCTAGTCTCACAGCTCTAAATACATTACACCGATGACTGCCAATATCTATTTCCAACTCTGACTTTTCCTTGAATTCCAGTTTTCGTTATTCAACTGCCTAACTGCTTATACTGGATACCCAATCGGCATCTCAAGCTCTGCAGGTCCAAAACAAATCTTTGAATGTTTGTTCCATAATCCTCTTTTCCTGTAAGAGGAACAGTGACGTGCAACCTCTGAGTCAGTGGGTGGTGCTCAAAGCCAACTTGATGATAGGAAGCGGTGTTTTCCAGACCCAACCCCCTAATTGGGAGCTGATAGGAAGTTGGGGAGAAACTTGGGTTTTGAGCAATTAAACAGCTAGACTTTTTGGCAGTTTTACTACGGAGGTTTTTGGTAGCTAAACCACTGGCTTATGGTAGTTAAACTGTTGGGCTGTTCTTGAGTGTGGGAGGACCCACAAACTGGGGCAACTCAGTTCCCCTGGGTTTGCTGTTTCATTCTTAGTCTTCCTCCATTTTAGTAAAGTGCCCCATCATTTACCCCTCATGTTTTGGGGACAGATAAAAAATCCTATTACAGAAATCTGTCACCCTTAATTCCTTTCCCCCACACTCCACAACCAGTCCATCTGTATACCATGCTGGCTCTGATCTTCAAAATACATTCAGATTCTGACCAATTCTTACCACCTCTATCACTACCACTCTAGGTCAAACAGCCACTCTCCTCATACTGTAACTGTTTAGGGCAACTAGGGGAGCTAAAATGTCAAAGTTGGCATTGGTGGAGTCTCAGTTGTGTGCCTACAACTGCATCTTCAGGACACAGCTCAGGCTCAGGGTTCAACAACAACACAGTTTCAGAGGAGAGAGAGAAGGTGGGAGAAAGGAAAGAGAGACAGTGTCAAAGAAGCAGCAATGGTTTGAAGGTCTCAGCAGAGGTGCTACCACAGCAAACAGCAAGAGCAATCCTAAGGGCAGAATGGGCAGCATTGGACACCAGACAGGTCAGCACCAAAGGCAACAACACCAGGGTGTGGTGAGGGATGTATCAGAGGCAGGGACCAGTGTTATAGCTCTCAAAGGTGCTGGGCATAAAGCCAACAGCAGCCAGCTCTTTTGGGGATACCTAGCACAGGGCAATGGTGTCATTCAGCAAGTTATGGCAGAGGCACAATCAGAGATCAGGTCTGCAAAGGCATGGTGCCTGAGGGCTCAGTGTTACAGCTCAATGAAGTGTTACCACTCTAGACAAATCTGACTGCATCTTCAAGTCCTCTTCCAAACTCCACATAGGAAATGTTGGAGCCTGGCTTAAATACTCTCCAGGGTGATGGCCTTTCAAGCCTGATTGGTCATTTTAGTTGATTGGCACCCATGGGAGCTCCAGTCAGATTAGGAGGTTTACAATCCTATATTTGCATAACTTCCCTGGGAAGTCCAATCATATTGGAAGGTTTACAATCCTGTATTTGCATAACTGCCAAAAGGGGGTGAGGGGGAGATTTGCACCATCTGAACCTCATAACTGAACACTATGAAACAAGTGGGGGCAGGGCTCCAATCCGAGCTGTTTGATTAGTACTGATCAAGCTCTCATCAAATCAGTCCATTTTCAAGTCCATTTATCAATCTCCTGCAACCTGATAGTAAAGGGAAGAGCCTGACCCTTGCCCAGACTGGACCTGCATTGAGGTCAGGGCAGGCTCCTGGGCTGGAGGGCTCCAAGGAACCATGGCAAGAGCTAGTCTCAGAGGAGCCAGAGGCACCCATTGCCCTTCATGGGGCTGGGTTTAGTAATTTAGGAGGCTCTGCTTCATTGTTACTGTATCTGCTCCTAACTGGTTTACATCCTTCTACACTTGCACACTTCCAGAGCCCTAACTCTGGCAGCCAGCGTGAGCCTTTAAAAATATGCCACATAGGGCCTCCCCGGTGGCGCAGGGGTTGAGCGTTGGCTTACGAAGCTGCTCGCAGCCTCTACGGCACTGGTTCGAGCCCCAGCTGCTCCCCGGCCACCGGAGGAGGGTCCCACATGGCGCGCAGACCTCTCCTGCCGCCCGCTGCTCCCCTCAGCAGTGTACTTCGGTCCTTCTGCCTGTTCTGCTCCCCGCTCTGGCTCTGGTGAATTCTCTCACCCTCCCGCACTTCTGACTGTACCCAGTGCTTGTATAAATAAATCAATCAATCGTAAAAAAAAAAAAAATGCCACATCATGTCATCTCCTACTCAAAATCCTCTAATTGCTTACCATTATACTCAGAATTCAATAAAGTCTTCAGCATGGCCTATAAGAGATTCCATTACCTGGAACCTGACTACCTGTACATCTTTATTTCCTACCATTCCTTTCTTTCCTCCCTCCCTCTGCTCCAGTTATACTGTTTTACCCAATGTTCTGTGTATAGATCAAGCACACTACTTGAGGTCTCAGGACCTTTGCAGTTTCCTGACTGACTTTTCTCCACATATCTACATGCCTCAGTCACTCATTTCATTTAGGTGTCTGCTCAAATGGCAACTCTTTAGAGAACTCTTCCCTCATCATTGACTCTAAATAGCCCACCATTCCTATTTTATACTTTTTAAATAATCAGTAACAAATATAACATGTAAATAAATCAATATAAATATTAATAAAAATACATAGTTATGCAGTTGTCTATTTAGAATTTAAGAGCTAAGAACCGGGTTTTGTTCACCTCAGCATTCCAAGTGCCTGGTACAATACTCAACACAGTGGGTTTATTTTTTTTAAGATTTATTTATTTATGCATACAAGAACTGGGCTACAGGTCAGAGCTGCAGGGGGAGGGGTTGAGAGTATTCACCAGAGACAGAGTGGGGAGCTGAACAGGCACATTGACTGAAATACACTGCTGAGGGGAGCGGAGGGCAAGACAGGAGAAGTCTGCTGCATCATGTGGGTCACCTCCCTGGCCAGGGATCGAACTGGTGCTGCAGTGGCTGTGAATTGCTTCACAGTGCTGCCTCTTGATCTCTTGCGCCACCAGAGAGGCCCCAACACATCAGGTTCTTGATAAATATTTTTAAATGAATGTCTACATTTGAGTTTGTCTAGTTTCTTGACTCAAACTCAGCAAGATACAATAAATATTTGAGTTTCAATTATGAGTGACACTTAGCTAGATGCTTAAGAGCTTTAAAATCAAACAGTCCCTGACCTGAACTGTGGCCTTTTTGGGTGAGTACTAATTGGAAGACAAGGACGCCTTTGGGGATACTAAAAATGTTCATCTTCTATCCGGGAAGTAGTTATATAGCTGTTTACAAAAGCACAAACCTACTGAGCCAGACTCTTAAGATCTGTGTCTTTTAAGTGGCATCCCAGTCCGTCTATTTTAAGTTTCTGACCTATCTAGACACATCAACAAATAATTTCCATTGAGGCAAGAGCAGGGATAGAGGTCTGCACAGTGTCAGTTGTGAGAAAGCCACTCTCCAAGTGCTAAGATCGGCAGGTCCATTCATAGGAAAGGGCAGGCTTTATCCGGATGCCAGAGCTTCCCACAGACACTGGGACTTCTTCAAAAGCCCTGAGGACACCTTTAAAAAAAAAAGTTTGAAACTTTTTTTTTTTAAGATTTGTCTATACAAGAACTGGGGTACCGTCAGAGGCGGGGTAGGGTGAAAGAATTTACCAGAGACAGAGTGGGGAGCAGAACAGGCAGACGGACCGTAGACACTGCTGAGGGGAGCAGCAGGCGAGGCAGGCGAGGTCTGCCGCGCCATGTAGCTATCTCCCTGGCCGTCTGGGATCGAACCGGCGCTGCAGAAGCTGCGGACAGCTTCACAGTGCGGCGCTCAACCCGCTGCACCACCGGGGAGCCCCGGGACACCTTCTTAAGGACTGAAGGATGCCTGACCTGCTGGGGAGCGGATCCCTGAAGTGCGATAATGCACAGTAGAGCGTCCCTGGGAGGAGCTGGGGCAAGAGAGACCAATGGGGCGGCCTGCACGCCCTAAGTCATTTACCACATAGCCTGAGGAGGTGCACGCCGCGTTCACGCGTCTGGAGGTGAGCAGCACCGGTACCGACAGCCCAGTAACGTCACAAGCCCGCGCTGGGGCCCCGGCGCGCATGCGCAGCAATGAGTAGCTGCGACGCAGGCGCGCTCTGGTCCGGCGCGACGCAAAACGCGGGCAGGAGCCCGGCGGGCGGGCGAGCCGGCGCGCGCTTCCGGGCGGGCGCGCGTCATGGAACAGCGGTTAGCCGAGTTTCGGGAGGCTCGGAAGCGAGCTGGGCTGGCGGCTGAACCCAGCATTTCGAGCCAGAGCACACAAAGCTTGGGAAAGAAGTCGGAAGCTGCTACGACGCCAAAGGCAGCCCCGGGTTGGCTAAAACGGTTCCTGGTGTGGAAACTGAGGCCCGCGAGTGCCCGGGTCCAGCCCGGCCTCGCTCAGGTGAGACGAGGGAGGCTTGGCCCCCGGGACCCGGCTTCGTAGCCTCCCAGGAAACTCTGGCCGAGGCCACGCCCCAGCCCACGTGGCGGCTCCAGGCCTCGCCCCCGCCGAGGAGCGGCCCCGCCCACCACCGGGCCTCAGGCCACGCCCCCTCGCGTCTCGCGGCGGGCGGGGCTGTCGCGCCTGCAACTTTCTCGGGCGCTGGACGGCTTGTCCCCTGCAGCATGCTTTGCGAGATCTCCACGGCCGTGTAGAGCCACAGCCCCCTGCCAGTGCAGGGTACAAGTTCTTACGTGGCGGCTGATAAAAAGTGGCAGTAATTAAGGCTCGTTTGATTTCGCCCTTGGGCCATTTGCAGCCAGGAGCTCACCTAGCTGGTGCTTTAGAAATAGGGTTTGAATACAAAATTTGGCCAGTGCAGCCGGTAACTGCCGGTGAGGGCATAATGCTTCTGCAGCACTCTTGAGCTTTACAAGGGAAGCTTATTCAAGTTCGTAATGATTGTCCAAGGTGGGGAAAAAATTAGTATGATAGCCTTTTTACCGTTCAGGCTGCTTTGGTAATCTGTAATTTTGCAGATGAACTCATAAGTTTTGCCCTTGAGTAAAGTGACAGGTAACTTGCTTACGAAACTCGAGTGCCCGTGGGAATACAGGACAAACCTCAAATTAGTGCTTTTGATAAGGCCTTTGTTTCTTACAAGTGTATAAGAGCCAAACATTCTTTTTCAAAATTAAAATGGACTGGAGCCCAAGTGTACCTTACTCCTCTTAAAATTCTCCTAAGTTCATTTATTATTGTGCGACATCGGGTTTCAGGTATTTTTTTTTTTAAATCAAGGAGGACTTACTGTTACTCAATTTTAATTAGATATTAATCTCCAAAACACGCAGAGTTCCAACTGACTTGCAGAAAGAGTGTAGCAGGGTTCAGACAATCCATTTCCTTGCGTGCAGTTTGTCTCAGGATAACTTTATTGTTGATTAGAACTCACTGAGCACAATTGCTCAAGATTTTAGAATTGACTTCCCCTACCCTTTTTCCTCCTCGCAGCTAAAAAACAATATCTAACCCACACAATGAGTTTTTGACTGCACGTCTCATTTCCAAGGGAATGTGAGATCATTGAGTTGCCCCAGAGAAGCTGAGCTTGGCGATGCTTCTATTATTAAAAACCCAAAAAGCTGACATCCTGACAAAAGGGATGGCCAGCTATTCTTATTAATTACTCTCTTTTTCATAAGGAAGTCTGTCTTAAGCTCATTTTCATTGACTCAGTTATTCCTGGATTTGCTCTGGTATGAAAATTCTCACTGAATTTTTTTCTCTCTGATTTACAGTCTCTCTTTCTAATAACTTGGTGGCACACTATGGTTTGTTGGAGATTTCTTTAGCCTTCTCTTTGCAATTGCTGCTTTTCCGTAGTCATTGATGAGGAAGCCTCAACTTTCTCCTTCCACTCTCTGATTTCTCTTGGGGGAAAATAGTCCTCCCAAATAAATTATTTCTGCAACAAGCTGCAATCACTTTAGGACAAAAATGCTGGTAACTTTTTTTTTTAATCCTGCAGAAAGCTTTCCTCCCCAGCCAGGTCCCACACCAGCCTCCAGTACACCATCTAGTCCCCAGATTCATCCCCCACACACCTGTAGCTCCTTGCCTCCAAACTGGCTCTCATTGACTCTACTTTGGAGTCATCAGGCTAGTCACAACCTTGCAGTAGCCCCTGCTCCCCAAATCAAGAGTCCTCTTTTAATTTCTTCCTCGCCCTCACCATTTTTTCATTCAAGAGCATGCATCCATGCCCACTATGTCCCAGCTACTGTTCTAAATCCTGGGAGACAGTGTGGTCAAGACAAAGAAAGCCCTGCTCCCGCACAACTTGGATTTTGAGTTTGGGGATGTAGGGGAAGGTGGGCAGCGAACCAAAGCTCACAACAATGACTGCTATAAAAGGCAAAAACCCAGAATGCTGTGATAGTGAATGGGGACCGAGGGCAGCAGAGTTCTAGTTCAAACTGGGAAATAGGGAGAACCTCACTGGGGAGGTGACTTATCATAAAAAGAAACCTGGGACCTAAGCCAAGGGCACATGCGATGTCTTTATCCAGGATTCTAAGAGTAAAGGGAGCCAGCCAGGTGATGTGAGGGGGCAGGGGCATTCCTCTCATAGGGAACAACACATGCAAAGGCCCTGAGGCTGGAAAGGAGCTTGGTATTTGAGGAATAGAAATGCCTGCCCTAAATTGTGCCTCTGTGTGCTGTGACAACCCCAAACGCTCCTGCACACAGTTTTTACAGCTGAAGGTGAATTGCTAGTCAACCTAGAACAAATGCCAAAAGAGGCAGAGAAATTTCCACCTCCCCCCTCTCGCTTGTTTCCTTTGCCAGTTCATTTAACCTCTCCCTAGGTTTCTGATCCTTCCTTACTAGCTCCATAAAGCCCCTAATTATGTAAAAAGGGCTTCCCAGGGAGAGCATCCCAGGATCCTAGACCTCTCTGGCCTCTGCTTATCACTAACTGTGTCACTAGAGAAGTTAACATCTCAGTGACTTCCTTGGGAGCAACTAAATTGGGAGCAACAATGCCTGACTCCTGGGTTACAGGTCAGGCAGTCAATAAATGCCTGCCATGAACATTCTTCTTTTTATGCTTTCTGAATAATCAAATAAATTCAGTTTATTGTGGATTTCAAGTCATACATATTCAAAGTGTATTCTGTATCCATTAAGCATCATTTCCTCTGACTTCTGTGTCACACTCTAATCTGTGCCTGCTTCTTTCTCACTGGGCCTCCTGCATCAATGACTAACAATTTCCCTGCTTCTGCTCTTGCAGCCCAGAGTGGTTTTAAATATAAGTAGAATGCATTAGTTCTCTGCTAAGGCTTTCAGTGGTTTCCCATTTCCAGCATCTTTACCATAGCCTGCCTGGCCCTAAATGTTCTGGCTCCTACCCCCTCCTTCCTGCATCATCCCCAACTCTCCCTCTTGCCCAGTACACGGCAGTCACACTGTCCAGATAAGCCACCCTGATACAGTCCCTTCTTGAGCAAACAAATGCTGTCCACATGGGCCAAATCTGAAATGGACACTTGGCTTATTGACTAAATGGGAGGGAGGGGAGTGGTGTTGCTGATAGTATGTTAAGTGACTTTCCAATCTAACTGAAAAGATAATAATTACAATGTTGATGATTAAAAAAAGGCTCTAACAAAATAGAATTTCTAACAACTTAAATCTGATGACCTTTGTTTTTTATTGAGACCAAATAACATTTCTGGTTTCCTTTTAAATTTGTATGTGAAAAGTGTGGATATAACTGAGGAGGAAACAAAGTAAAAAGTTCAGCTGTGTATTGAGAACCTATGTGTGGTGCTGTGGTTGACTTTAGAGACATCTAAAGCCAACAAATGGCAGTCTTGGCCTCCTGCTGCTTATAAACAACCAAGGGACACCACAAGTAACCTTTATTGAAAGGGAAGATGACACATCCCAGTGAGAAACAGAGCTAGTTCCTGCTCTGGGTGGCAGGGGGCGCCCTCCCTGATAGCCCAGGGAGCTTGGGTATGCTAAGAGATTACCCATGCTTGCAAAAGGGAAGGCCAGAAGTTGAGCAATGGAGAGGAGAGTAAGACCAGTTGGAGTAGAAGGTTTGTTTATGGAGTGATAGATGGTGGATGTGTTGGACAGGAAAGCTTTTAGACCATTGTTTTTCAAACTTTAAATCATGACCTTTAAATCATGGTGATGTCAATTTAGAGGATCTTGTCTCTCATTAAAAATAAATTTTAAAATAATATGAGCTTCACGTAGAGTAAGGTTATTTGTTGAAGGTGCTTCACATGTAGTGAGGGGTGTGTGTGTGTGTGTGTGTGTGTGTGTGTGAGTGTGTGTGTGTGTGTGTGTGTGTGTGTGTTGGGTTTGAAAAATACTAGCCTAGAAACCAAGCTCACTAAAGTTGCCCAGGTAGCTTTTAGCACCTGGCAAAGGGGCTGTGTCCTGGCATTTCTGTCAGTTCAATAAATGGAAGTTCTTGGTTTCTAGCCCAAGGAAACTGGATTTTCATCAGTGGCAATAGAAATTTGGTGAAGGTTTGTGTATGAGGTTGAGGGGCATTTCAGGAGATTCACCAGGCAGCTGCTCATAGGATGATTTGGAGCAGGAAGAGATAAGAGATGGGGTGTCTAGTTAGGGGGTACTGCCTTGGACCTGTATAGAATGGTCACGGGGAATGGAGCTGATTGTGTTTAGTGTGTGAAAAGGTTTTTTGTTTCCTGTCTCTGGTATAGTTGAATGGTAGTCTCCGTCTTAGAATCATGTCACTCAAAAAGCTCATCTAATCAAGTTGGCAAAAATATTGACACTGATGGTGCAAAGCTGTGTGTGACTGATGCGTTTCAGTTTCCAGGAAGTTTCTGTAGGAGGCCCAAAGCAGCTCTGACTAGCAGCCGACGAATCTGAGGAAATGTCTCTCATGAATGGGAGTCTCTCTGAATGCTGTAAGGTTTTTTTGGGGTCACATCTCAGTGCTGATCTGTTTGATTCAGTCGGAGCAAGGCGCGTGAGCTCTTTGGAGATGGTTGTTTTAGAGAGCAGGGCAAGAAACTAGAAATCAATGAGCCGGAAGCCTTCCCAGGGCACTGAGAAAGGCCTCTCCAGATTTGTTTAGCTTCTCTCAGCCCCACTACCCTTTAGTCTTACTTTTGTTTGTTGTGTCCTAGGAGGCGACTCAGCCTGGGAGCAGCTTGTCACCACCACCTCAGAACACAGCCGTTCCCCCACCCACGCCACTGGACCAGTCTCTCCTGACCAAAATCACCTTCTTGAAGGTTCTCCTCTGGCTGGTCCTCCTGGGACTATTTGTGGAACTGGAATTTGGTCTGGTTTATTTTGTCCTGTCCTTATTCTACTGGATGTATGTGGGGACACGAGGCCCAGAAGAGAGGAAGGCCGGCGAGAGGAGCGCCTACTCGGTGTTCAACCCCGGCTGCGAAGCCATCCAGGGCACCCTAACTGCCGAGCAGTTTGAGCGGGAGTTACTTTATAGGCCGCTGGAGGGGAGATAGGGCCCAGCCGCTGTCCTGCATCCCTGCCACCTCAGACACATTCCGACTTGGGGACAGACTTGGGGGTTCCAGGTGCCGGAGAGGAAGGACAGCTGGTGGGTTAGCGAGTGACCTCGAGTTTCTTCTTCAGTTTTTCTGTGATCTGCTGCTGCAGTTCTATCCTTGAACAGCTTCTCTTTGCTTTTGTTGAAACTCCCTGAAAGACACTGTGGGTCTGATGCAATTTATAAAACTTGCATACTCAAGAAAGAGATCACCGATTATTTGAGGTGATTTTTAGAGTGCTAGAAAGGCATTGGGGAGAAAATTGTTTAAAATATCAAACTGTTTAAAGTAATGGTTTTGCATACATCAAGACTGTGTATTGAAAGTAAATGTTCTCCTTAAGACTTAATATTTATAGCATTTTTTCCCTTGAAAAGTTTTAGGTTGTGAGTTTGTTTGCTTGTTTACTTTTGCTTCTTGCTTTAAGTCTTCCCATTTCAGGTATTAATGGTATTGAAAAATAAAATTTCTTTAAAGCAGCTGCTTTCAGAAAAGGCATGATCATTGTCAGTGTGTGTCTTCTACTCTCTTCAGTTATCTCCACCACCCCCCCCCCCATACACACACACACAGAGTAAAGAAAGAGAAGACAAAGTCCTCAGTGACTGGGGTAGGGAGAGATTTCACAAAGTCAATATTGGTAGATTTGTTATGTGGACACTAATGATAAATTCAAAAAGAAAAACTTTTGAGTGTGTGCAAAGGGGAACTCTGGATGTGGGACTCCACTTATTGGCTACTGATTTTCTGAAGCTTCAGAGTAAGCAGGCAGGCCCTTTCCCTGTGGGCCTCTGGCGAGAAATTCTGTAGATAGTGATCATCAAGCACGCTTTCAGTGTTCCTCCTCTGGGACAAAGTTAGAGTCTGGGTTCATTAAACATGGGCAAAGTAAGCCATTGAGTTCTTTTTTTGTTGTTCATACTGATGAGTAAGCAAACTCTGGATTTAAAACTTTTTTTTTCAAATTGATGATTTTAAGAAATTAATCCTTCAGTTTGTTTATAACCTCAGACTTCAGTTACTATGAAAGTAACTAATATTTATGAGACTTTACTGTGTAATAGAGGTCTTTTGTTGTTCTTTGTTCATTCTTGCCCAATTTACTTATTATTAGTAACTCTGTGCTCATTTTCTTTCTTTTTTAAAAGATTTATTTATACAAGAACCGGGGTACAGGGCAAATGTGTGGGAGGGTGAGAGGATTCACCAGAGACAGAGTGGGGAACAGAACAGGCAGACTGACAAAATACACTGCTGAGGGGAGCAGCGGGCGAGACAGGAGAGGTCTGCCGTGCCATGTGGGACCCTCACCTGTCGGCGGGGATTGAACTGGCACTACAGAGGCTGCGGACAGCTTCACAGTGCAGCACTCAACCACCTGCGCCACCAGGGGAGACCCTAACTCTGCTCATTTTCAATTGAATTTTTATTTAGTGAATGCCAGGAGACTTTTGATATAATAATGAAAAAAGTGAACATATTCCGAGTTCTTCTAACATTGTAATACAATAAGAGACTGAGATGCTTTATTTATAGAAGGAATTACAGGAGGAGATGTTTAGCTATAAGAGCGTGTTCTCATTACTCACACGTAGTAGCTGACTAGCCCCATGTGTTTCAGCCTTGTTGAATAGTCTTCTGATAAGCATGGCTTCTCTCTCCAGGCCTTGAGTGATTAGGAGTCTGGCTATCTCTCAGAGCCACCCAATTAAGCAGATTTCCCTTTAGCTCACAAAGCAGTTTTTCTTCCATGACTTCTATCTGAACTGGACCTGTAGAAAGTATGGGAAGCAGGCAATTCCCTTTTAAACATGAACATTTGTGTTGTATTTAAGATACATGATTTTCTTTGCTGATTAATTTCCTTGAGGTTTTCTTCATTTCCCAATGTGTAACTTGGGCTTTTCTGCTTCATAAAAGCCAAATACAAGGGAGAAATATCCCTAATCAACTATTCACTGCAATCCTCAGGGCAATAAACATTGTTCTAGGAAATAATATGCATTTTAAAATACATATGTATATATTTGGGGAGAAAATGATTTAAATATATATATATAATTCAAACTTTCCCCTAAAATGAAAGGCCTGTAACTGAATTAGGGACATTCGATTCAGTTAGTAAACCCAGCAAGGTAGGAACTTCTTTTAAGCATAGAAGATACTCAACTTTGGAGTGGATCTCAGTAGTGTTCTTTGAAAAACAACTTTTATAATGAGGTGGCACCTAGGTTGCCTTAAGCCCGTCTTTCATGGAATTTTCTTTGAATGATGTGTCACCTCTTCATGCCTGCCTCTTCCCGAAGGTTACATGAAATGAGACCATTAACTTCTAGGAACAGTGACAATTAAATGCTTGACGGGGAGGAGAAGGAAGGACAGTTCGTATTTGCTTGCTGTTCTTATCAGACCATTAAGCTTTAGGTGCAGTCTTGATTTATTGAATTTAGAAGGCCTATTGATCTCGAAATTTCTGCTCGGGACCTGACCATTAGCCTGGCAGGCAACTTCCATTAAAAGCTGCTTCTATCATAAGGGAATTTGAAATCTTAGAGATGTGTGCAGTTCCTGTGATGGCCATGTCATGGAGAGCTTGGTTCTGTCCAAGTCTGAGAATATTCACATTATCCCATCTTGCCTATTCACAGAACTGTTAAATGAGCCTCTACTTGTAGGGCTGAAAGTGACCCCAAAATGATTTCAAATGCCTCTCCCCTGCTTTGGGCAGGGTCACATTTATCCCTAAAGTTTATTTTTTCTTCTAGTGATCCCGAAAGAAGAATCCAGGTATAAGATTAGGGTACTTCCTAGATTTTTTATGGAAATAACCTTTGCCATCCTCCCTGTCACTCCAGATTATTCTCATCTCAGTAGACATGAAACACCATCCAGACTGGTTAGCCATTGCCCAGTTGTTATTTTTTAAGATTTATTTATGCATATAATAACTGGGGTACAGGCCAGAGGTGTGTGTGGGGGGGAGGGGATGGTGAGAGGATTCTCCAGAGACAGAATGGGGAACAGAACAGTCAGATTGATTTAAATACACTGCTAAGGGGAGCAGCGGGCAACTCTGGAGAGGTCTGCTGCGCCATGTGGGTCAGCTCACTGGCCAGGGATTGAACTCGTGCTGCAGTGGCTGCAGATAGCTTCATAGGTTGCATCTTAATCCCTTGCTCCACCAGGGAGGCCCCGTCATTGCTATTTTCTCTTAGTCCTCTCTGTTCTTCAGGCTACATCATCCAAGTTGTACTTTTGGTACATCATTTTCAAGCTAACCCTGACCTATTCTGAGGGTTCCAGGTCTGGGGCGAGATGAACGTCCTGTTGGTAGGTGCAATGAATATTTCTTAAAAGCTCTGGATTTTACCAAAGATGATTTAGGCATGTATATTTTGTGGTATTAAGATTGTGCTTTGAATATAGGATCTTCCTCATTTTCTTTTCAGACTGATCTGTATGTTAAAATTGCACCCCAAATCCCCATACTAAAAAAAAAAAAATTCAAAAAATGACACAATTGGGCAGAAGAAAGTCAAAGTCTGTGTTTTTGTTTTCCGTCACACACTCTTACAGAATTACAGTTCACATAAATATAGGTTAACCCCTAATTGCCAGCAAATATTTGTAGGTACACTGGGCCTGTCACTGCTGGGGACCCCTAAATAAACTTACAGAGTCTGAGTCAGTTTTGAGAGTCCCATGATGTGGGGTGGGGCTGGGATGCTATGGAGCATCTTACCACCAGGGGGTAGCATAGAGCTGCCTCTGTACGTGGTGGCTTCCTTCACCTCACACTTCATAATTAATGTAATGTGGAAACCCCCCTGGCATGTTTATCTGAACCACTTGCGCTGCTTCTCCTGGCAATCCTTTCACTTTAAGATTCACAGAGGAAAGGGCTCATCAGAGGTCCTGGGAATGGCATAGAAAGCTATCAGAAGTGATTTAAACATGTTTTAAAATAAAACAACAGTCCCCCTCTAGACTCAGAGGCTGTATTGCACCGTGTTTGTCCACATCTGAGCTTTGTCAGGACAGGGGGAGAAAAGACCAGGAGCTGGTACAACTGGCAGGGATACGCAATCCCTAAGCCAAAGAAAGCAAAATTTGAACTGTGTGCTTTGCTTTTTGTCACACAAACTTTTATATCACAACATGGGAGCGCTGAGCTGGATGAAGACCTGGATCTCACTTTCAAAACATTGTCAGAGAAGACAAGGTGAGTACCTAGAGCACAATGCAGATGTTCACACAGCTGTGGGGAAAGGGTGCAGGGAGGGGCTGTCAGAAGTGATCACTAGCAAATCTAAATTTTATACTGTTTAACATTGTCACTTTTATGTGAAAAATACAAATTTTCCTGAAGTTATGGAGGAAGGTTGTGAAAAGTATGTTCTGTGACCACCTGCATGAGAATCTCCTAGAGCAATGCTCAAATGTAGGTTCCAGGCCTCCACCCACTCAGAATGACTGGAGGTAGGACCTCAAGAATCTGCGATTTACCAGCCTCTCTGGGGTCATCTCCAGCTCACTGAAAATCTAGAGCCTTCAACATAAATCATAAATGTTAAAATAGGAAGAGAATTTCATGATCAAGAGTGCCAAGCGGAATCTTACAAGGGACACACAGCTCACCATTTTCAGCCTGTTGTTTTGGAACACCAATGCTAAAAAGAAACATATATGTGGCTTCAAAACAATGAGGAACAAATTCCAAAGACAGCTCAGTCATTAATTATAGTAACCACTGTAAGTAAAGGGGCTTTACTTTAAAAATAATTTTATATTAAATTTATAATTTTTTAAATTTAATTTAATAATTAAAAATAATTATTACATAAGGGAGTCCACTCATTTTAGAACATTTTGGAAATGTAGAAAAGACTATTTTGCTTTTGTATTTTCACGCTTGTATTTCAGAACTCACATGGACATGGGAGACAGTCTCTCCCATCATCACATTTGTTCTTTCTCTAGACTACAAATGATATAAATAAACTTCTGTCCCCCTTCTTTTTTTCTTTTTTAGAATTTGGGCTTTGGGCTTTATTTATTTACCATTACCAAAAAAATTTGCAATTTTCATGTAAGAGAATGATGTCCAGTTTTCATTTTTAAAAGATCACCTAGGCTAGCACATAGAGAGTAGATTCTCTATGTCATTCATTTATTCATCTGTCTATCCAGCTTCCGTTCATCCATCCACCCACATCCCATCCAACCATCCATCCATCCATCCAGCACATAATCTTTGCCAGACCTAGTCCTGATCATATAGAAACAATGCAAGCCCTTTTCTCGGGAGCGCACAGACAGTTAAAGTACAGTGTACTAAACAGTATGAGAATGGGTCTTTTAAATGAAGTCCTTAGCATAGGAAAGGGATATCAAACCATTCAGGGGCTCAGGAAAGGCTTCTGAAGACAGTGACAGAAAGAAAGCTCCTTGCTTACTTTTTTCTTTTTTAGGAGTTTGAGTTTTATTTGCATGCACCTCTGGAGCAGATAGACTTTGTAGATCAGACT